CTAACTAACTTTAGGCTAACTAACTTTAGGCTAACTAACTTTAGGCTAACTAACTTTAGGCTTTTCCCTTTGAAAGCGAACGGGCATGGGCCAAAACTTGCCGGAGGAGTACGAAAAAAAGCTTAACAGTTTTCAGAGGTTCGTTTTCAGACTTGCGGCACAACAACGGCTACCTGCTTGGGCTAATCGGGAATGCCGATGAGACACCTCTTTACTTCGACATGCCTGGCATCACAACCGTCGAGAAGAAGGGGGCGAAGCAAGTTTGCGTACTGACATCGGGCCACGGTAAAACTAGAGTGACGGCAATGCTCAGTTGCATGTCAGATAGACACAAGCTTCCCCCGTACCTCATATTTAAATGGAAGACGCTCCCGAAAGGAGTCGTTTCTTTGAGTGGTGTGATCATGCGGGCCAGCGAGAAAAATGGGTGCGCGTTGCAATCGATGTCTTACTTTTTATTTTTTTCGTCATGGGAACCGGGTGTGCGTTACAATTGAGGACGCGGTAGAATCGAGTAAATACGGTAATAACATTCTTTGCCTAACTGGTGGATGGGTCTGCAGGGTCTGTAATCTTTTCTGCAACAGCGACAACGGTGGGGTTTCGGTTATCCCACCAGACATCATCGACAGCTGCGGAACTTGCTGCTCTACATAGCGCAGTTAAAATTATTAAACACTAAGAAGCTAAGAAATGGAGCGTGTTCACGGACTCTAAGGCAGCACTACAGTGATATTCGCCTTACGCCGGGCACCTTATGAACAACTAGTGCTGGAAATTAAAGAGCTGCTTCAACATCTCTTCGACGAAGGACACAGAATCACGTTTTAGTGGCTTACAAGTCACTGCGGCATATTGGGCAACGAACATGCAGATGCAGCTGCTCGATCAGCACATGAAGATGATGAAGAATCTATACCATTTTCAAGGACTGATGCTGCAATAATGACAATCCGAAAAATCTCTAATGCAGAATTAAAATCCCTGTGTAACGCCGAATGCTTATGACACACGCGACTCCATAGACTGGACACGTCTCGTCGACTCCGGCCTCCGTCTGGACTTTCTCGACTCGAGACAACGGTGCTTTGCCGACTATGGCTTGGTGTCGCCTTCACCAAAGCTTTCGCCTTCCGAATCGGTATGGAAGACAGTGCTGCTTGCGGTCATTGCGGCCGTGATAGAACTATAGAGCACGTTCTCCGTCAGTGCCCTCGTTACAGCGTGCAAAGACTGCAACTAGCTGCTGCGTTAGCTCGCCTTGACAACAGACCTTCGTCTGAACAATCAGTGCTTGAAAGGCGACATGATTTGTGTGCTCACAGAAAATCAGTGAAGGCCTTACTGAACTTTTTGCGTGGCAGTGGCCTATTGTATAGACTATAGCATCCCAGCCCCCCCCTTTTTTTTTGCGTGCGTCTATTTCCCTCTTCGCTTTCTTTCCCATATTTCTTCCCCATTCCCCCTTCCCCTAGTGCAGGGTAGCAAACCGGATGCTCCAGTTTCTGGTTAACCTCCCTGCCTTTCCCCCATCTTATTCTCTCTTTTTTTTCGCCTAACTGAGACGGCAATTAGTGTTGCACGTCATGTCTACCTACAGGTTCATGCTCAAGGGTGATAAACTGAAAGGCATTGATGATGCGGCTATCTAAAGTGGCACTTGTGAGTATACGGCACCTCAGACGCAGCTTGATGACACAGTGTGCAGCAATAAAAGCTTCGGCCCATAACTATGCCTAACCTTGATAATTTTGACGAAACGAAGCATTGAAATCGTAATGAAAATAACATGGAACTAACGATCATGATGTCTGAGCAACTACGCGAGAAAAACTGACTGTACATCTGTGGCGGTATTCTGTAAAGGATGAACGCATTCGAAATATTTTGCGAGGCTCGATATTGTACCCAAGCGCAATGTTTGGCACTTCTACAAAAATGCTCTCCGCTGATACATCGATGCGTCAGATGCAAATAAGCCTAGTGCAAGCGAAACCGTCATATCTCTTGAAATGTTCTGTTAAAATCTTGACCTAATGATAGATTTGTGGGGTTTAACGTCCCAAAACCACCATATGATTATGTGAGACAAAGGGCTCCGGAAATTTCGACCACCTCGTGCTCTTTTACGTGCACCCAAATCAGAGCACAGGCCTACAACATTTTCGCCTCAGTCGGAAATGCAGCCTCCGCAGCAGAAATTCGATCCCGCAACCTGCGGGTGAGCAGCCGCTTACTTTAGCGAACAGACCACCGCAGCGGGCAACTTGGCCTAATGATGCAATTATGGTGTTTTCCAGGATAAAACTAAGACATGGTTATGAAGCAATAATTTTGCTGTATGTAAGCAGAAACATGTATTTATTTTCCACCCACATTGGCAGTCTAGGCTGGGAATGAAACCCATTCATAGCAGCCTAAGACAAACCAGATTCCTATTTTCAAACGACCGAGTGCAGGAACCGTTCACACAATCAAAAACAAACTTTTTTGTTGTTTACCAGTAACATTATTGATGCTCATTTCGTCTACAGCTTGAGAGAAGCAAAAAGCGAATGCAAACAACCGAACTGCGCACGAACAAGCGAGCGCATGTTATGTAGGCCTTGCCGTGACGTCACACAGGTCACCCACCAGGTGGCGCCACTCCAACTTTTCGGGGCCAATAGAGTTACTGTGTATGCTACCTTCAGGTAAAAGTAGCATATACAGGAACTCTAGTGCGCTATGATCATTAGTGCTAGGAAGGAGCAGATGTGATATTACAGCAATATTACAGCTGCTATTTTCAAAGGTGCGATAATTACTCGCAGGAAAAAAAAAATTGTATTTTTGGTTGGGCAACGTGGTGGTGCAAGGATTACGCAGGTAAATGTGGTCGATTTTATTCAATTTCACTACAATAAAATTCTCGCTTCAACGCACCCTGTCAGTTTTGTTGTAGCTGGGTTCGACTGTATCAAAACGCTTAGAACAGTAGACCGACTCCCTTTAAGACCAACTAGAAGGGACCACGATCCTTTGTTCGTCTTATCAGGTATTGGTCTTATCAGAAGTGCCCCCAAAAACCAAATGCTAACATGCGAAGTACGCCCAAATATGTTGCTTTAAAACACTGAATGAAGTATACTTATAAGTGCTTTTTCTTGTTCATTTCCTCCACATTATAACTAGCACTTGATTTCACGGGTTCATAATACATATGCCAATGAATAAACTTCTGCCACATTTTAACAATAAAACTGTAGCACGACCATAATTTGACGATTAGAAAAAGATAACGAGGAGAGACGGGCAAAATTTTCCATCAAAGAATGTAACTTTATTCTTCTGGCTCTTCGCCTTCCGAGAGCCTGTCTTACTAGCTTTGTAGCACTTTTGGATATGCCTCCATTGCATGTGCAACCTTGACAAAGCCAATACATGCCAAGTTGCTCATGAAAGTCAGCAAACTTTTCTTTCAGGTTTGTATATTTTCTCATTTTCAGCCTGCAGTAACTTTTGCTGAACAACATGCAGCTGAACATCTTCGTTTACATTACTCACGATCACAAGCCTCCTGCACACAGAAATACGCGACGCAGCTATATTTAGTGTAGAAAATGACCTTACTTTGTTGTGCACATTCATTATGAAAATGACGCAACACAATCTGTGGCATTCCACTGCAAACATATATGACGCACAAAGGTCCTATGCAAAACAACATAAACTGACCACAACAAGGGCTAAGGCGCCATTGTGTGACGGCAATGACAATGCATCTGACTTCTCTGATAGGAGTGCTAGTTCCGCATATGTGGTTTCCGTTTCATGTGATTATGATTTGCAGACAATCGTTGTTCCCGTTTCTCACTTTCATTTGGCTTTTTTTTTTCCTCCTTCGCTTGCATTTTCCCGTTCTAGTGTTCTTCTGTTCTCTACTATACTCTTGGTGGAGAACTCAAAAACATAAGGAGAATGTGTGTGTTTGCGTCTGTGCACGTCTCTTTTTGTGACCTTGTCGAGGTGCGCTTTACCTTTATAAATGATGAAAGGACGAACACTTTTTGTTGCTTAATGCTGATAAAGGTGGCCCTTTCTATACCGACAGGCTAGGAGTGACAAAGATACCAGCTATATTCGCTGACCTTTCTTTTCCACTTATCTAGCTTTCTCCCTTCCCGTAGCAAGTTGCTTTGAGTCTTAGTGCCAGGAAGTGTTTCCTTTCATTTGGCTTTCTCTTGTTTGCCCGATTGCCCCCATAATGTTCGTTGCGCAGAATCCTCGTTGTTGTTGGTCGCTGCGAGAGTTTGCCTTAACAGAAGAGGCCTGTTACGCAGTTCGTCTTAAGCAGACTTTTTCTGTACGAGCCTACAGGAAACCAAGAACACTCTCCCGTTGTTTGTCTTAAAGGGAGTTTACTGTACGAGTTACATTTACTTGAATGGATGGACATGTTACCATTACACAATGTGTTAACAAGATTTCACGACATCTATATTTAGCAAACACAGGAATAAGTACATCAAGACTATTTTAAACATTCGGAATGTTAAGTTGGTATTATATTGCTACATGTCACGTGATCATGAATGCAAACTACACTATAAGGGAGGTTATTTCATTGAATTATGTTAGCATAGATGCGTTAGAGGCTAAGGTGCGATTGAAAGAACGAGCGAAACTATGAGTATTAATACGAGGTCTGCGAGATGAAGCTTTGATGGTGACAAGGTCCTTACGTGTACTCTGTCGATTACTTGGCGAAATGAGCATAAAATGGCAATCTTCATGCGCAAGTTGGCGATCTTCATGTGCTAGTCAAGCGGTGGTGGTGATAGTAAAGCCTTCATGTTAGTCGCACTGGCATAGTGTGCAGAACATTTTAAAACTTCTTGGGCAAATTGGTCGCAGTACTTGTGGCGCAATGCTAGAAACATGAAAAAGGACAGAAGAGCAAGTGCCCCCTTGCCTGTGCAGGATTTTACGGCACGCTTTCGACTTTCAGCACGTACCTCCTCCTGCATGACCGGATCGGTGGGCTTCACTTCAGTGATCAAGGTGGGGGCTACATACTTGCTGTCCACGTCCACGTCTCCACCAAACGCGACGGGCAGCCCCTCGAGAAGCTTGGCTATCCTCCTGCAACAGCACACGATACAAAGCTATCATGACCACCACACGCTGGCACAAGCCTCACCGGCAATGGCTGGTGTTGACGATGCGGCCCAGGTCAGCACTCTCCTTGGGCTGCTCGGAGTAGAACTCTGTGATGACCTTCTGGCAGGTGTCCACAAATTGAGCATACACCGCTGTGTGGCAGAGCACATAGTCGGGTGCTATGCACGTCTGGCCCGCATTGACGTACTTGCCCCACATTAGGCGACGACACGCCACCGGCAGATCCACCACCTCGTCCACATACACAGGGCTGCACAACGGCACGTCACCAACTTAACTGTTGCAAACGGTCTCTCGCATCAATCAATGCATAGCAGAGACTAGCTAATGCAAACAAGACAAGTACAGTCGATCTGCTTAGATCAAACTCTGATATATCTCTTCATTGGCTATATCACTAGCCCACCTTTCACTGCTTGTTCAGTTTGCTTATCTGGTGGCCTTCAATTATACCGAGGATGACATGATGACCTTGACAGTGCATAAGAAGCAGGACAAGTTTACGAACTACCTTCATGTGATATAAAGTGCAGTAACTTGCATAAGAAGTCGTCTTGTTCTTTAGCATACTGGGAGCTAATCTTTATGTTAGCGCTTGTTACGATATTCAAAAACTGTCGAGAGGCCTGCAATACTTTCAGTTAAGCCCCAACTATGCATATTTTGTATACAAAATTATTGACATACCCAACTCTTTTGTCATCTCCTGCGAGATAGACTGTATTATACTTTAAGATGTATTATAATTTAAGATTTGTGCTCCACAATGCCATACGAACCCCTATGGGGGTGAGTCGGGAGGATTGAAATACCTTTCACAATTATATTTTTCGTTTCTTAAACACAGAGCTATGTTTAATTGATTATATTACAGGTTTAAACAAGCTGCCAAACATTTGAGACATGACTCCTGGTGCAGCTGTAAAAAAAAGCTTGTGATAGCTAGAATCTGTCTCGCCTCTATGGGTGGACATCACTTGGGAGGAGTCCGACGTAACGCAATGGTCCGAGCGTATTGAGTAACACAAGTTCAACCTCAAACAAACAGGGTTGCACAAATTTTGCTGCCCCGATAGTTTTCGATGCGGGCAGCTACATCAAAATCTCGGTAATTGGTAAAATTCCCATATGTTCGTTAGGACGAAAGCAGAATAGACAGCTCTTAGTTCACCAGGAACTACGTACTGATTCGGACATGGTATTACTGCTCTTGACTACTATATAGCTATGTAATGAATGAAATTTATTTACTGAAACTGACAATAAAGAGTGCCTTTTATCACTTGAATATATTCATTAGGCCATTTTACACATTTCAAGCCATCCATTATCAAAACTTGACATGTCGCTATCAAACTTATTTAAGGCAATGGTAAGTATGTCTTCTTCACTGGAACAGCAATCCTTCAGCAAATGCCATTTCTTTTTTTGAATGGGCTGTGGCATGCTGCTATGTTGATTGTGTATGCTCCTCACCCCCCCCCCCCCTCTTTTTTTTTCATGACTGCCATGTTCTGCTAGGCTCTGAATTCTTATGCTATTGTAGGAAGCTTCAATGTACTTCTCATAGAAATTGTCTCACTTTTTTTTTTTTTATTTGTGCCCTGTGTAATGCGGTGTAACAGTAGAGAAGAAAGGGACAGTGTCTCGTTCCTCCCTCAATTTAAAGGAGCACTCACATCAATTCACTATGTCAAGTTTTTTGTGCCAACGAGTAGCTATTGATCCCCTAGTAAGAATTCGCAACCTAAAACGCATGTGACGTACGAATGAACATCTAATATTCTTTAATATACCCGGTATCAAATGTGGTTCAAAATGGGTCAAAAGCCCGCCAAATTGTAGTGCTGTCAGTGCTACCTAACGGCCATGTCGAGGCCACTGCACAGCTGATGCAGCTTTCACAGAAAATGGTAACGTCACGCACACTGACATTTCGTCTACTAGGAGCGCACGTGCAGTCAGTCCAGCTGTGTCTTTGATGATGTAGACTAAAGTCCCTCCATGCGTTTTCTGCCAACTAGGTTAAGTAGTGCCAACTCCTTCTCTCCCTTTAGGCCCAGCCTCGAGAAGAGGCCTCGTACTGCCAGTGAAACTCAACTCGTTTGCCAACACAGGATTTACCATGTAGCAGCTTGGCGCAAAGCGAAGTGAGCAAACGCGGCTGTTCTTAGGCGTCCAGTCCCTCTGTCCATCAGCACGCACAAAGTCAACCCACTGGCTGCGTCGAGGCGTGCAGGTTCTCACTGCGCAGCAGTTCCCCCGACACTCTGGCACGTGTTGTCACTCTGAATGATCGTACTCATGCTGTGGAGCACATGTGAAATCAGTCGATTCGACACGATGAATCGCACGCACGTTTCAACACAGCAAGGAGAGCCACTAGTGAGGGCATGGCTGGGAGTCCGCTCCAAGCACACTCAGATGGTCTACGCCATTGTTACTAGCGTATCGTCACTCAGGATGGTATTTGTGGAATGTATCACACCGAACACGTAGCACTAGTGTCGATGTCGCAGGGCAGTCTATTTTTCGTTTTTTATTTCCTTAGCTTTTCTACGCTGTTTGACATCGAACTAAATAACTTCCACGTGACGGATGCCATTCAAATTTGGCCAAGAAGGCCTATGCATACAAAGCGCTCGAATGATGGGCCCATCTCGATCTTGAAATTTGATGTCAGTGCTTCTTTAACTGTCCCGTTCCTTTTAATCTACACTTCCCAAAGTAAATACTGTTCAGCTGCTAAAGCACAGTCATAAAGCTTAAAACGTTTTCTTTGAAAACAGCGGTGATGCGTATTTTCGGAGAAAAACTTATATTAGCATCCACTCCACAAAGGGGTCACGAGCAGTACACTTGTGATAACAGTAACTTACTTGTGACATGTGAAAAAAATAAACGACTCCAGTTGTAGATACCACCATTCGCCAAAGATGCCTGCCATGAACTAGCACCATTTCACGAGTTATTGGCTAAAATTTTTGAAGCAACTGCAGGAGAGATAAACATGTGCCCCCATTGTCCAAAACCTTCGAACATCATTCTGACAGGACCACACAATACCATTGTATCCAGGCGTCACAATAAAAGGCTACGAGTATTGGTACGAGACCCACCACTGGAGGAGCAGGTGCTATAATCGGGTTGACATGCAGGGTTGGATCACATGATCTCGCCTTGCTCTGGCGAAGGAAAGCTGCCGGTTGGTTTAACTGCGACTTGCTGTGTTGTAACTTTTGAACAGCATTGTTTTGCTCTCACTTTATGTGTGCATACTTCTACAGACTACACAATCTAGAAAGATGCAGTAAAAGTTATTGATTGCACGCCACAGCCTGCTACGTACGCGATGCCACTGTCACGATCGCTGGCAGCGCCACTGTCACTTCTTTCTTCCTATGTTGTTGTGGTTGTTAATTCAAGCCCATGGGGTTAAAATGAGCACCAACCAGGATTGTTCACATAAAAGCATAACGTTTCAGTTACCGCACGGGAGCCACCTTAAAAAAAAATGAATGTGCAAACAGTCCGGTTATGTATACTTTAAAATACGACATACGTGCGTACATGGGGGAGAAGTTGCCGTAAGTATATTAAGAATGTGCGCCGTCGTCTGAATTGTCAGAGAGTAGAGATGAAACCTGGAAGTCCACTTGTTTCCCTTAATTTTTGGTAATTTATCCTATTTCGGTCGATTTCGTTGCCAGATGCTTCTGTGTGTTCAACCAGTGCGCTCTATGAAACTTTCTTGCATCATACAAGCGCCACTCCAGCCTGCTAAAGCTACTTCTCTCGCCAAAGTAACTTCTACCACAGTCTGCAACCGCCACCCCCCCCCCCCCCACTCTCCTCCCCAGGTGTCTGCGCCCATGTGTGTACTCGCCACCATACGGGTTTCCGTCCACCAGTGGTGTAGCCAGGGGGTAGCACACCAAGCCCGTGCCCCCCCCTCCCCCCCCGAAATTTCTTTAATGCGAATGCATTTCTCAGTTGAGCTATGTCGAGCGTTCGTCAGGCGTCCGTCGGGCATCCACCCACCACTCCCTCCTATAGCAACAGCAGCGGGTACATGCGTCCCTAGCAACCGGAGCCCCCATGAAGTCTTGCTTCGGTGTCGGCAGCTGTCAGCGGCAGCTGCGTGTGCGTGCCCTTATCCTCGCCCCTAGCCACCACAGCACCCCACCTCCTTGAACTTGACTTGTCACCGCCTCAATGCAGTGCGTTTGAAATGCGTTTGTAGCGTTGGTATTGATAAGACACTGACATTATGGCTGTCAAACACAATGACAGGTGCAGTGCTTCATCACTCCTCTCGCCGTTCGCTCTCTCTCCTAGGACCCTGTGTTCCACATTCTCATCCGCTCGCGCCTCACTCTCGACCCTTCGCTGGCTGGGTGCCTCTCCCCAACATCCGAAAATGTGTGCTCGAGATGCCGCTGTGAAACGCCAACGCCGAGCCGAGAACTGTTTTGTTCATTTAATAGTATTTTTTAATCGTGCTCTCTAGCTACAAGAGCTGGAAATGCATATCGTGTCTCTCGCGACAGAAAAATGCCACGTGGAGCGAACAGCGCTATTTGCTGCACGCTGTAAAAAAAAAAAGAAAATTACAACGCTGGGTTCTCACATGCAAAACGCCGCAATGAACGCTACGCAATGCATTCGCATTTCCTCACAATTTCCTTCGAGGAGGTGGGGGCATTTTTTTCCAGGGCATATATAGAACACAAAATAACAGCCGATCACATCTATTTGACCCTCTCTTCAATCAAAGCGGTAGGTGCTCTCAGCGGAAGAATTTTGTGCCTGCGCCACTGCCCTTTCCAACTTCCGATCACACGATTCTTTGCTTATAAATTTGTAGAATGGGCCCACAGTCACTGTCATTTCTCAATCTTGTTTTGATCTACAGGCGAAAATGTGGTCAGCTTCGAAAACTAATTTGTTTCTTGATAGCTGTCGCGAAATGTCACACAGCTCATAAATGAAGCTGTAAAGAAAACTGGACACAAATTTTTACTGAAACCTGAAAGTGTCGCTTAGACTATAGTACGCAAGGCGTACTTCGCAGCATGCTCGAGCATTCAAGGCCGCAAAATAATACAGCTGCCGCACAGTGCATTTGCTACGGTAATCAAGTCCGGTCACAACCCCATTTTTTGTGATTTTCGCCACTTTGTAGATGCTGTTAAACTGAGCCAATAATTCATAACTTTGAGCGATGTGTGGCTCGACGGCGATCAAATG